AGTTCTACTAAGCTGAGGTAAAAACACTTTTAAGTCAGAATAGTGTAGGGCTCCTGTTGCTAAAGTGGGGTACACTTATTCTCAGGGGTACAGCCAATGACACTGGGGGTACATCAAACAATTCTGAAATATACTCTTTATTTAATTTCAGTTTATTTCATTAACTTGTCACACAATTACTCAGAAATTTCCCCAAACAACCCTGCACTCGCTCACCAACTCCTGAGCAGGAGAGCCTCACTGAAGTTTCTGTAAGCAGGACTTTGAATACTTTAATAAAAATGCATTGCCAGATTTATGGAGAGTGACGTGTGCAGAGTATGGAGGGTGAGTTTTCATCCCTCATTACAGTGAGCACTAAATACAGGCATAGACAGTGTGTGGAAAATGATTACAGATTAAAACTCTCTCCTATGGAGCCCAACATTATGAAATTACACCCCCGTTATTAACTCCCCTCATTAAACTGTGAGGGAGTTTGTAGTTATTATCAATGTGTGTGTCTGGTAATGCACAAATAAGGTGCTCTATAGAACAAAATTACGAGGGAGTGATTTTACAAGACTTACTACCATTTCTTCTTTTTACCCCTACCCCTTGTTTTCGAGTGTCACCCTAACCCCTTGCAACTGAGTTACAAGGGGTAGTAGTTGAAATCTTACCCTACGAAATGGAACAACCCTCAAATTAAAACAAAACAAAAACAAAAAACTTTGCTTCATTAACAGGCTACTAGCGGTGCTCTGTAGGTGACCCAGCCTGTCTTCAGTGATAGCAGAGGAGGGTAAAGTTCAGCAACCTCACTGCTGGTCTTTAGTTACATTTAGGGTATTATATGCTTTCAAAGAGGGAGCATAAGACAATTATTTATTATCGCCCACACATAATTCTTTGGTGATATGAAGCTGAAGTCAGCTATTCGCCAGCTTCTTGTTCGAATTTTCCGTTCCACCTTAAATGTTGCAGCAGTTACATTAAACACTGCTGGACTATTTAAAGTGGAACGCAAAAGTTAGCTAGCTAGCTAACGAAACATTAGCATGCTATTAGCAATTTTTTATGCTTGTTATGAAGAAAACGACCATAATACACTGAAACGATATTAAACCAAGATAATACAATGGTTGTTGTAATTTTTAACAGAGAAAATACTTACATTTGTGGGTTTTTTTGGTCACTCGTGCAGCCATCTTGCCGTTTTTTCTTTTTTTCTGATAACACTCCGTTTGGAGTGTGCCTCTGAAAAACTTCCGTTTGGAGGGCCAAGTAGCCCTAACACTTCGCCCTACCCATCCATCTCAACAAAAATCGGGACACCCTAACCCTAGACATGAACGGACAAAACAGAGGGCTGTGTTTATTCATTTTTCAGGCTTGAGGCTTGAATGTATGAATGTATTACAGAGCTAAAAGGTGACCACCAACTTCTTAAGCAGCTCTGATTCCAGAAGTAAAATCTCTTTAATTTTCTCCATGATGTAACATTGGGGCTGAGACAAGTGGCAAGTGTGAAGTAACTTTATTTGGGACTGTCCAACTGTTGTAGTCACAGCAAGCAGAGGTCAAAACACTTGTAGGCAAAATGAGAGGTAGATCCATCTCAAAAATCAAAGAACGTAGCAGGGGTCAAAACCAGTGAAAAGCCAAACACAAGAAACAGGCTCAGAATCAGGTATTGAATGCAGAGACTTTGCAAAGACACAGTGGAAACAAAGAAGTATAAGTAGTGGTCTTAACATGCTTAGAATGAGCTGCAAGTATGTGGGAGAGCAGGAGAGTGGACGGACCCTGGGAGATTCCAAGTCGAGTGGGGGGGTTGTTACCTGACACATAGACATTTCAAAAAGTCCTCATATGCATCATTATCATCATTAACCGCTTAGTCCAGATAGGGTCGCGGTAGCGGTTGGGAGAGCAGAGAATCCCAGATGACCCTGTCCCCCACAAATTCCTCCAGCTCATTCCTGGGGACCCCAAGCTGCTTGGAGATATAATCCCTCCGGTGGGTCCTAGGACGACCCCAGGGTCTTGTCCCGGTAGGCTGTGCCTTGTACACCCCCACTGGGAGGCATCCAGGGGGCATCCGGTTCAGATGCTCGAACAACCTCCGCTGGCTCCTCTCAATGCTAGATATTGTAAATATTTAGCTGAACCAAGTAACAAAATGAATCATGACTTTATTGCATTCATCATTCTTTTTTGAAAGTCTGTTGATTTTATCTTTGCTATCAAATTCCTCAGCAGTCATGGTGGAAGCTGCATTAATGTGTGAAGAAAATGGGATTTTTGTTCTTCAGCACATTACGCATGTGTTTTTTGTGATTATTATTATTTACTTTATTTCCAACCATCCTATCATAACATTTCTTTTTAGATGGCAGTGCACATACAAAATATTTCCCTCTGTTTGTATGAGCTCTCCTGTCATTCCTGAAACAAGCAAAGTAAATCTGGAAAAGAAAACACATATCTTTCATTGTAACTTGTAATTTTCAGTATTACACAAATACATATTCAGGGAATTCTGGTCGTCTACATGGTTTTATATATTTTGCAGCGTGGCACTTTGGTGTGATCTGTGTAAAGCTCCTGTTCATAATAATTAGCATTAAAAACCACTGTATGTTGTCTCTTTCATACTAACTCTGACAGAACCAACCAGCTGAACCTGACACAAACTACACCCCAATAGACAGCCAGACCCTCTTCTCTTTATCCATAAACAGTGGTGGTACTATTGTCTTTGTGGTACTATACTAAAGAGCATAAAAGAAAGAACTTGTGTATGTCCTCCAAATTAGGATACTGATTTGTGCTGATATTTGGGCAAATGTAAGGTTTAGCATTATAAGATTAAAATTAAGATTAAGTGACCTTTATTAGTCCCACAACGGGGAAATTTCAGTATGTTGTCTCTTTCATACTAACTCTGACAGAACCAACCAGCTGAACCTGACACTCTTCTCTTTATCCATAAGCAGTGGTGGTACTATTGTCTTTGTGGTACTATACTAAAGAGCATAAAAGAAAGGACTTGTGTATGTCCTCCAAATTAGGATAGTGATTTGTGCTGATATTTGGGCAAATGTAAGCTTTAGCTTTATAAGCTATTGTTAACTGGAAATAATGCGATGATTCATCTCAGGCAATGTTGTGGAGTAACACAAATATAATGTAATGAGTAGTGTAAAGAATTACTTTCCACAGAGAGTAAATGAGTAAAGAAATGAATAAAGTGTAATACATTACTTTTTTGAATAACAATTCTAACACTGTTCATTACTTATTATAGCCTGTTAGCTGGCTACTTTATTAACATTGGTGTCAACCCACCGCTTATGGTTTACCCATATAAAAGGTATTATAGCAGTTTTGGAGGTAAACAGCCATATATGGCTTTGATACAAGAGATCTAGTCTACCACAAGTAACTTTGGACAGCAATTTTGCCACACTCAAATGAAGATGTACTTTGCTCTTCACAAAATGGGCAAATATTTTCCAAAAGTGAAACAAGCACAGAGTTCCACCACCTTTTTCAACCACTGGAACATTAAAATCCTTCACGTTCAGCCCAGGTGTCTGTAACTCAATTTGCACTCTTTTTGAGCTGCTTTTGGAGACACTAACAGCATCTTTGAGAAAACAAAGGAAAAACAATCCTTCTGATGTTTGTAAAAGTTCTGCTGGAACAAAGTTGCTCTGCCAGCTTGGGTGTCGCCATGCCAACTACATGGATGACAGTGATTGGTTAGTAATTTCCTATTGCTAGTGGAAATTCACAAAAAAACAAACAGAGGGCAAATATCTTGTAGCTCTACGAAGTCTACTCTGCTCTGGATAAAGTATGGTTATAAATCTAATTTCCTATGGCGATTATGATTGGCGTTTTTACTTCTGGAACCAGGCTGTTCAGCTCTGTTGGGTTAAATTACCTGCTTAAAAAATGCTACAATGGCACTGAATAATGTAGGATATGTAACTAAAATTGCAGCTCTTGTGATCTGAAAATTTGGACTTATTCAAATTGCACCAAAAGTGATGAATCATTCAGTCCTACATGGCAATATTGATTTGCATGAATCAGCATTGAATTTCATTTTATTTCAAAAAAAAAATTTGTAAAATATTATTGTCAAAAACGGTAAAATTCCAGTCTGCAGGCAGAAGAGCCACTAGAAGTCCTGCAGAAAGGAGTTAAACACATAAAATATATGTAAATTTTGAAATTTGCAGAAAATGCCATATTTATATTTCCTATAGAGAATGTTTTAAATTATTTTTACTAAGAAAATCAATAAAACATGTAATTTGACTGAGAGTGTTAAGACATTTGCATATGATCAATAATGTCTAAAGAGGTTCAGGAAATTAATATGATGTAATATATGAAAGCATATTTATTGTGTCATGTTGTTCACAATATGCTAAAAAGTCTTCTGTTTTCTGACTCCAGAAAATTCCAGAAGAAAAACTCAGATATTACCAGGAGAAACATGGAGATCATATTCAAGGTGTGTGTGTGTGAGAGAGAAAGAGAGAGAGAAAGAGAGGAAGAGCAACTGATGTCATGTACAGTTTACTGGTATATATATGCTGTGATTTTGGGTTCTTTCTTACATAATAAATATTTCATCATAACTCGGGCTCTAAAGCTTTTTTATAACAAAGACCTTTTTATTATTTTGATTTTCCCACCAACAAAAACCACAATTCTAATGTGTTGGTGAAAAAGTTTCATTTGCAGTTTCATTCAAATGCTTAATGTAAAGTCACGCAAGTGTTTGAATGTCAAAGGTGTTGGATTTTGAATTTTGAAAAATGTAATCAGTAACTATTTTCCTTAGACAAACTACAAAATGTACTGCAACTATCCTGCTTTTGCTAAACAAGAACAACAAGAACAACAATAATAATAATAATAATAATAATAATAATAATAATGCGACCCTTTGCACTGCTAACAGGCCCCTGTTTCTTTGATCCTTAATCAGGAGATGGAGCACAAAGTCATCTCTCTGATGAAGAATCAGCTGAAGAGGTTTGTGAAGCTGCTGAGTCTGGATTACCCAGCATGCTCTGAGAGAGAGGTGGAGGATGAGGAGGATCAGAGCAGTGTCAGAGAGGGGGTGCTGAAGATCACACTGACCGTCCTGAGGAACATGAACCAGACTGACCTTGCTAACACACTACAGACCAGTAAGACATCAGGGTCACATGATTACTCATTATATGAATTAATATTAAAAGTTTAAATAATCAGGATAATGTTATATTAATAACACTTTGCACTGAATTATTAGGTTTGATTTTGCTAACAGCCTTTTGTGATGTCGCTGTAGTATGATATGCAGTTGATTATGTGTGTGTGGCAATGCTAAAATGAAATGTTAACATTCAACATATATATTTTTTAGAATTGGCTCCGTCTTGTCATCAGAAGCTGAAATCAACACTGAAGGACAAATTTCAGAAAATTAATGAAGGAATCTCAAATCCTGGAACCTCAACCCTTCTGAATGAGATCTACACGGAGCTCTACATCACAGAGGGAGGGAGTGGAGAGGTCAACAATGAACATGAGGTTAGACAGATTGAAACAGCATCCAGGAGACCAGCACAGGAGAAACCCATCAAATGTAATGACCTCTTTGAAGATACTTCCATCAGAACTATGCTGACTAAAGGAGTTGCTGGAATTGGAAAAACAGTCTCTGTGCAGAAGTTCATTCTGGACTGGGCTGAAGGAAATGCAAATCATGACGTTCTCTTCATATTTCCACTTCCTTTTAGAGAGCTGAATTTGATGAAGAAGAAAAAACTCAGCATGTTGGCTCTTCTTCATCAGTTTTTTAGAGACACAACAAAATTAAAACCAAGTGACTATCATCACTACAAAGTCCTGTTCATCTTTGATGGTCTGGATGAGTGTCGACTTCCTCTAGATTTCCAGAACAATGAGAGCTTATTTGATTTAACACAGTCAGCCACAGTGGATGTGCTGCTGACAAACCTCATCAAGGGGAATCTGCTTCCCTCTGCTCTCCTCTGGATAACTACTCGACCTGCAGCAGCCAGTCAGATCCCTCCTGAGTGTGTTGACCAGGTAACAGAGGTTCGAGGGTTCAGTGACCCCCAGAAAGAGGAGTACTTCAGGAAGAGAATCAGTGACCAGAGCCTGGCCAATAAAATCATCTCCCACATGAAGTCCTCAAGAAGCCTCTATATCATGTGCCACATCCCAGTCTTCTGTTGGATTGCAGCCACTGTTCTAGAGAGGATGTTTGGTGAAGCAAAGAGAGGAAAGATCCCCAAGACTCTGACTCAAATGTTCTCACACTTCTTGATCTTTCAGATCAAACACAAGGACCAAAAGTACCATGGAAAATGTGACACTGATCCTCAGCAGACTAGAGAGAGTATTCTGGCACTGGGAAAACTGGCTTTCCAACAGCTGGAAAAAGGCAATCTGATCTTCTATGAGGAAGACCTGAGAGAGTGTGGCATTGAGGTCAGAGAAGTGTCAGTGCACTCCGGAGTTTGTACCCAGATCTTCAGAGAGGAGTTTGGGCTGCACCTGGGGAAGGTGTTCAGCTTTGTGCACCTGAGTGTTCAGGAGTTTCTGGCTGCTTTATATGCATTTGTCGCCTTCATCAGTGGAGATGGAACAGATCAGCGAACCACTGATCTCTCTGGTATTTTCAATAAGTCAGAAATGTCACACTTCCTCAAGGTTGCAGTGGACAAGGCCTTACAGAGTGGGAATGGACACCTGGACCTTTTCCTCCGCTTCCTTCTGGGCCTCTCACTAGAGTCCAATCAGATTCTCTTACGAGGCCTACTGACACAGACAGGAAGCAGCTCTCACAGCAAAGGGGAAACAGTCCAGTACATCAAGGAGAAGATCAGGGAGAATCCCTCTCCAGAGAAAACAATCAATCTGTTCCACTGCTTGAATGAACTGAATGATAATTCTCTAGTGCAGGAAGTCCAATCATACCTGAACAGAGGAGGTTCCAGTGGACTCAGTAGAGCTGAGCTCTCTCCTGCTCAGTGGTCAGCTGTGGCGTTTGTGTTGCTAAATTCAGAAGAGGAGCTGGATGAGTTTGACCTGAGGAAATATGATCCATCAGAGAAATGTCTTCTGAGGCTGCTGCCAGTGGTCAAAGCATCCCAAAAAGCTGTGTGAGTACTTTTCTTCAAAAATGTTGTACTGCATTGTTTTTTTGTTTTCTATGAAAATCAGTAATTAATGCATTCTGCTTTTAATTGTAATATTTTCTCAGTACCACTTTAAAATAAGAAAACCCTTAGAAAGTGTTTATAAATGGATTAGAATTTGTTTATTAATGTTTTTTAACTACATTGTAAACACCTTAAAAATCATTAATAAGCAGTTATAACACATAGATGCCTCTTGTTTGCCAAATAGTGAACCCACATCCATCTATATTGTAAAACCACAGATCTTGTTGATACTTATCTTGCTTTGTCTTTTCCATCAGTCAGCATTCAACCTGTCAGCTTCATCACATATTTGTAAATAAGTTTAACCATTTCACCACCAAGTGTAATCATTTATTTACCAACAGGATGTTTTAGTTAATAATGATAATGAGGTGTACATTAACATACGAAATTACTAAATTTATATTCTAAGGTCTTAGCAATATTCTTTACCTTTACATTTTCAGCATACTATCTGACATTTTCCTTATGATTGCCACAGGAATTGATATAATGTTGCAATGTGCTAATGTACATTGGACATGAAGGTCCTATTGTGATCATTAAGATTGAGTATCTTCTTTAAAACAGCATTCCTTGTGGTAAAGTACACCTGACATGAAGGTCGTACTATTGTAATACCTGTGGTAGAGTGGCATCTACATTCGGACAGCAATCCAGGTGTAATCTTCCTTTACTGGTTTACTGCTGACCACTCTCAGATATAAGTGACCTGTCTGTAAAATCTCAGGTTATTACTTACGCTGCTCACAGATCATCATGTCAATTTCCTTTATTGCAGTTGCTGATTCACAGATTTTTGGTTTGATGTTTCTTGCCATGAATGGTCTACAACTATTTGTTAATGAGTTACTAACACTTATAGCCACCAAATCGGAGCCTTATTTTAACATGTAAAACATTTCACTGTTTGTTAATGAGTAATTAACACTTCAAGCTTGAGCCTTATTTTAAGACGTACACTTCACTGTAGGTTTTCCTGTTTGGTTTGATGTTTCTTTGTCTCTTAAATGGTCTATGACCATTTGTTAATGCATTACTAACACTTAAAACCTCTAAACTGGAGCCTTATTTTAAAGTGTACAAGACTTCACCATTTGTTAATCAATCCAATCAATCAGTTACTAACACTTATAGTGAATCACATTTATGTAATATAAGTTTATACAATGCAATGACACAGAAATAAGGAAAACAGTTATATTTGCACAACAAAATACAGTTCAAAGGAGACTCAAATTTAAACTGTCTAAACAAGAAATGCCTATATTATGGTAAATTACTTTTTAAATAAGAATGTCTTTTAAATAAATAAAATGTTACCACATTCTTAAATATTTTTTTAATTTAAAGCTAAATCTTTTTTTAAGTTTAAGTCTTTATCCAAAAAACCTAAACAAACCAAAAAATAAACTTCAATATTGCTGTAATTTTTTGTGTTTTTACTCTAACTTGAACCAGTGTGCCACATAAACTTTAACCAACATAAGCCACATAAACATGACCAAGTGTAAAGAGCCATTAAACAGGCTTGCTTCTCCTAATGGGGAGAAGTGCAGCCCCAGCCTTCATGCTTTCTATTTTCTCTTTCACATCTTCATCTCCTTGAATAGCAGCCTCACACCGCTTGGCAAAGGCCAGCACTGTCTCTCCACCAGGCTTCTTGGCCAGTACCTCTTCATATACTTCAGGAGCAGTAACAGCGAGCTCTCCAATCGCTGAAGTGGACACTACAGTGTTCCTGTCAATGGCATGCTTCTGGAAGGCCCTGGTCATGGTCTTGGCCTTTGGTAATGTTTTAAGGATCAATTTGTAGCAGCATACATTTTCACTTGGTGTTTGTAATAGGCAGGAAAAAAGAGACTTGTTGTGAAAAGGTTTTACTGCAGAGAAAACCATAACAGTTACAATAGTGCTTCAACTACAGTTGGGCAATATGATTAGATAGAAGCAGGCAAACAGGTGTCACATGTTACATCTATTTAAACAGGTCTGAATTATGCTCTCTTTGCATTCAAACATGCAGCTGGGAAGTGTGGCACAATTGATCACATTAACAATAAATACTGTTGTATTGTCCAGCCCTAGTTTCAACTGTATGGACTTTTTTGGTCTATATTCTATATTCCAGTCATTGTATCAACTTTTTAGTTTGTGGTCATATAATTATGATCACATTATAGTTGTCAGCCTGACAGTTAAATCAAAACTATTTTCTTATGTACGGTATGCTTATTAGCTGTTTATTTCAAACATGCTTATGTCTGGCCTGACCTATCAGGATTATGCATATAATCCATACAAGGAACACTCTAATATCTCAGTGCATTAATACTATATTCAATTGAAGTGCTTAAGTGTGTATATAAAAGTATCAGATTTCAGAGCCAGAACGATCCATTTTATAACTCATATTTTGATGGGATGTGTCCTTGATTTTAAGCCTGCTAGTTAATTGTAAATTGCTTTTACTTTGCTACTTTAATTTTTAATAACATTACAGTATTAGAGTAAAAATAAATGATGAGCATATCATCTTAGAAACCAATAAGAATGAAGCTCGGTTAAATTTAAAAGATTCACCAATCAAAAAACAGCAGCTCTGACAGGAAAAACACTAGAGAGAGGTTCAGTTTAGTGGAGAAGGACAGAGGAGAACTAAACTAGCACACACGAGGAACAGACCACGTCCAAACGGTCATCTGTATTCATTTTCACATAAACTAAAGAAAACAGAGTTATTATCAGCGACCAAACACGAAACCTGCTGAGATCCACTCTCACAACTGACTCCAGCCTGAGGCAGCATTAGCCGAGCTAGCTGATCCGAGCTGAACAGGTACAGTAACTTGTACTTTTACTTTAAGTATGTTCAGTACTTTTTACACCCCTGCTGCATTGTCCATGGTTTCTTCCTTTGTTGTAACTGAAAAGTACAAAAAAAAAAAAGAATCACTGCGATCGTAGCCTATATGCTCTCTTTTTAACACATAAACTATTACTATAGGAAGAAAGAAGTGCTTGAAAGTTATTTTAAAAATGTTTCATTGACTCAGAAACATTTATAACAATTCATTGAATACAGCTCTGACTACACAGTGTTCCTGTCAGTGGCATGCTTCTGGAAGGCCCTGGTCATGGTCGTTGCCTTTGGTAATGTATCTGTACTTTACTGAAGTATTTCTATTTTGGGCAACTTTTTACTTTCACTTCACTACATTTCAAAGTGAAATATCTTACTTTTTACTCCACTACATTATGCAAAATCGGTCGTTCCTTTTGGCTTATGTGTGCATAAAAACATAACATTTTTCAGAGTAAAAACAAAGAACCATGAAGCAAGAACACAGAGCACAGCGCACACTTTGTTTTGAGCTTGTTTTGACCTGTTGGACAAACCTACCCAGTGCAAGAATACGGTTCAACAACGGTGTTTTAGGGCCACTGTCCATAAAAATAACAATAGTAGACTTCGAGAATAAAGTCGTAATATTTAGAGAAAAGTCATAATATTTCAAGAAAAAAGTCCTAATATTTCAAGAAAAAAGTTGCAATATTTTGAGAAAAAAAGTCATAATATTTGGAGGATAAAGTGGGCTAACTGTAGGGGGCTCGGTTGCTGTACTGTTGCTGGAGTTCCACTCACTCCTGTCTGCTTGCGGATCGATCATTTTAATTATCATTCCCATTGTCTGTGAAACTGCATGTGCACTCAACAACACTCATGTGAGTGAAACACTCATGACTGTGAAACACTCATGCGCTCTTTGAATGGCTCGGAGATGTAGCCACCGAAGGCCATGTAGATGGTCAGTGCATGCGATTCTCCTTCACCAAAACAGACAGTTTCCTCTGAGTCCGTCTGGCTCTTTATTCTAGATAAACACAGTTTCCTGCTCAGCCATTTCTTTTACTAATAACAGGCTGGTGCTGATGTGCCAGGAGAGACAGGGAGACTGAGCATTTCTTTATGGGTGAAATCGATATGAAAGTATAACTCCACCACCTCCTCACTGCCCCTCATTTAACATGAGGAGGTGCTGCCTTCCCTTTGCAAAGCCTTTGGCCAGAATACTGCAATCTTTCCTAGTATTAATGCCACCTTTTAATTCAATGAAATTATCTAGAGTACCTCTCTATTGTAATAGACACAAAGATAATGCCAAAATCCTTTTTTCCACCACCGACTAATTAATGCCAGCTTTTCAGCTAGTGTGTCTCATGATGAATTATCTTCTAAAATCTGTGAAGAGTTCGCAATTCATTTTCAAAATAAAATAGACCTGATATGATAGGGTGTAGCTCAGCAGACTCAAACAACCTCCTATAATGTTCCTGATAGGCCACCTACATCAGTAATGACATCTTTCTCTGTTATCAACTATCAGGAGCTCACAACTATTTTAAACAAACTAAGTTTGTCCACATGTGACCTTGTCCCTGTTCCTGCTTCATTCCTTAAGATGGTTTTTGAATGTGTTCACAATGATGCTTTAACTACTATAAGCTGTTCTCTGTCAGCAGGCCCTGGTGAGCCATTTTAAACCAACTTCAAACCTTCTTTTTTTTAAGTAAAGTTACAAAAACATTGTTTTCACGCAATCAAATGTGCATCTTGGTTTTACTGGGAAATCATCAAAAAACATAACATTTCTTGTGGAGCCCCACAATGTTTCCTTTTTAGGGCATTTGGTTTTCTCGTTGTTACCTCTAGGTGATGCCACTACAAAACATAATATCAATTTTCATGGCTATACTGATGACACACAAGTATACATTTCCAATCCTTCTAATAATCAAGGCTCTGTTGACAGGCTTATCAGCTGTGTGTCAGATATTTCTCAGTGGATGTCACAAGATTTTCTATGACTAAATTATGAAGAAACTGAAATACTGGTAGTTGGTGATAAAATTCAGAGAAAAAATGATTCATGATA